GACTGAGCAAGCCCGAGTTTGCGCTGGTCCCAGAATTCTGGTGGGGGCAGCAAAGGAGACGCTAGGAGAGAGCTGGGGAAGCATGGCCTCGTGACTTCAGCACCCCGTGTGATACATAAATCATGACTGGCCTGGGAGAAAGGCCAAGAGCTATTTCCTGCCAGCTTGCCTAGCAGTGTTTACACCCTTTCACCTTAAATGGCAGAAGTAGAGAAAATGGGAACTGCCAATACCCCAGGAACAAGGACCAGATGCAGTAAGGCTGCTCTGGCCGGTGGTGAAGGCTGGCATGAGCATCCAGACACAGTACCCTATGAACAAGGGCCGGATGCCTGCATGACAGACCCGACTCCACCACTTACCAGCCGTTCAGGGTAAGCGAGGTACCTTGAGGTCCTGGCCTCAGTTTCCTCATCTGTAAAAACCATGACACTGGTTTGTTATTTAACAGCATTTTCCAGCAATGTTCCTATTCAATGGTCAGTCCTATTCCATCCATAGTCCTTCCCTCATTTCAAATGAGAAGGCTCTGAGGTTTCTAGGTTCTGTGAAGTCCAGACACAGCATCCAGGACCCTCCGACAGAGAAGCAGAACCTTTAAGGTCTCTGCGGCAGCTAGAGCTACCTGAGTGTTCAGAGGGCAGCCAGAACTCCCCCAGACACACCTGGAGACACCCAGGGTCCAGACAGGGGAGGTGTATAGCTGTCTACCTTTAAATCATGTGTTCTTAGTTTCCTGATTTAATGGGCAGTCCGTGCGGGAAGTGACAGATAATGCAGGGTGGGTAAGGCTCACTTTGGGAAACACGGTTTCCCTGCTTGGAGAGGGTCACCATCAGATAATCCCACACTAGACATGATCAGGGAAAAGGAGGCACAGGACAGCTGGGTGGGATCGTAAGCAGCTGTCATGGCCATGACTCTCCCTGGCAGCACCCCAGCCCCGAGGCGCCTTCACGCGCTCCTCTCTTCTTGTTCACTCTCTGTCTTCATCCCCAGCTGTCAATTCACGTGTCTCAAAATGACATGAGTTAAATATCTTGAAGAACTAGGGATTCATCATATGGCAATGTTGACTCAGAAAGCAGTGCTTCTTCAAGCCTGTCACAAACCTGGGGTTTTATCTCAATAGTGGATGATTACAGGGTCCTTGGTGCTATTAAAGATCTACATTCTTAAGTGTTACTGTCTGATAAGTAGATGACTTTATGGGTTCCCCAGTGGCCCAGTGGGTAAAGAATCCCCCTATGATGCAGGAGACACAGGAGATGCTGGTTCGATCCCTGAGTCAGAAAGATCCTCTGTCAGATGGAATGGCAACCCACTCTAGTATTCTTGCCTGGAGAATCCCATGGACAGAGGAGCCTGGTGGCCTATGGTCTGTGGGGTTGCAAAGAGTTGGACAAGACTAAGCAACTGATTACACACACACATGGGTTTAATTAAGTCCTCCCAAAAGATATATTAAGTTATAACCCTTGGGGGTCTGTGAATGTGGCTTTACTGGGAATAGGGTCTTTGCAGAGGTAATCAAGTTAAGATGAAGGCATTAGGGTGGACCCTGATCCAACGTGACCTGTGTCCTTATAAGAAGGGGAGGAGACAAAGAGACAGAGAGGAGAAAGCCACATGAAGATGGAGGCAGAGATTGGAATGATGCTGCCTTGAGCCTAGGAACACTTGGAGCCACCAGAAGCGGGAAGAGGCGGGAAGGATCCTACCCTAGAGGTTTCAGAGGGAGTGTGACCCTGGCAGCATCTTCATTTCAGACTTCTTATCTTCAGAACTGTGAGTGAATACACTTCTCTTGTTTTAAGTCACTGAGTTTGTGATACTTTGGACTTCCCTGGTAGCTCAGTGGTAAAAAATCCTCCTGCCAATGCAGGAGACATGGGTTCAATCCCTGGGTTGGGAAGCTCCCCTGGAGAAAGAAGCAGCAACCCATTTCAGTATTCTTGCCTGAGAAATACCATGGACAAAGAAGCCTGGTGGGCTACAGTCCATGGGATTGCAAAGAGTTGGACATGACTTAGTTACTAAACAACAGTTGCAGTACTTTGTTACAACAGCCCTAGAAAATGAGTATGGGTGGAAAAAGTGCAATATTTCAGTGGAGACAGCTGAGGGATGGAGAGAAGGAAGGTACATGATTTAAGAGGACCCTGGAATCTCTTCTCTTTGTCTAGCCAGCAGGTTCTCCTCTCTTTCCTTTCCTCTCTTTCCTTTTCCCAGAGGTCGCACCTCTGTCACCAACGGACCCGTCAATCAATAACGAACAAGGTCAGTGACCTGCCCCAGGCACCTCGATTTGTGCTGAAGGCGGAGAGGGACACAGAAGCATTGCAGCTGAACTCCCTTCCATGATCTCCTGGGCACCTGTGGAGGTGGGAAAAGGTGTGGGCTCTGGGGTCAGCACCCTCAGGCCCAAGGCTGCCATTTATTGGCTGTGTGACTTCAGGCATATAATTAAACTACCTGAGATTACTTCCTCCTCTGTGAAACAGGGAAAATCTCACCTGCTTCACAGGGTCCTTTTGAGAATTTTTAGATAATATACAGTAAGTGATTAGCCCAAACAATCAATCAATGCTAATTATTATTAGTGTTGGAGACTTGATGTAATAATACAGGATAAAGTGTGATCGATGCTCGCCCAAAGGTAAAACTAAATTGTTTTGAGAAGACAGCGGGAGATTATTTCTACCCAGGGACCAGGGAAAGCTTTTGCAGAGTGGTAGTATTCCATGAGAGCCTTAAAGGACGAGTAGGTTTTATCTTAGAGGCAGGGGGATGGTGCGAAGAAGGGAATGGCAACCCATCCCTGTATTCTTGCCTGGAGAATTCCATGGACAGAGGAGCCTGGCGGGCTACAGTCCATGGGGTCTCAGGAGTCAGACAGGACTTAGCGACTCAAGAGAGAGAGAGAGGGCGATGGTGAGTGTGTATGTATTGATGGGATATGTTGGAGGGGAGGGATAAAGGACTCTCTCCTGGAGGAACTAGCCCTGGTGGAGGCAAGGGGTCAACAGGGTCAGCAAACAGCAGCCCCTGTGTGTACATCCAGCATTCTGTACGTGTGGTGTGTGTGTGGACCTACAGTGAGTGAGGTCTAGACAGCAGGGCCCCCAACGTCACGGGAAGGAGTCTGGTCTTGGTTCTGAAGGCAGTGGCTCCCGTCGAAGTTAGAATAACATCAGAGCCCTCCAAAAGCTGGAGGAAGACACATCGGAGCCAGGAAGTTCATCAAAGGTTCAGTGATCTACTCCAGTGATGACAAATGTCTGAACCAGGATGGGGCAGAGGAAAGGAAGGGGCAGATAGACAATAATGGAGCTAGCATTGAGAGCACTTGATACCAGGGGGAGAGGGGGTTGTGGAAAGGAACACTGAATGTGATTCCTTTGTTTCTTGCCAGAATTATCTGGAAGGACAGTAAGGAGGGTATTAGTTAGAGTCCGTGAGTAAGGCCCTCTCCAGTCCCTTCCCCAGCACCCTAGAGGCCTACAGGAGGTGGAGATGGGCACTCAGTAAATGAAGAATTTGATGCCACTGGCAGGGAGGGAAGCACAGACTAATCACAGGTTTGGAAGGGTGCTAATTAAGGTTAAGAGACCCAGGGGCAATCATGCTCTCTCCAGAGGGCTGCTGGAAACACAGACTTGGATAGAGGAGTGGGGTGGAGATAGAATCTTAGGGACCAACAGCAGCAAAGTGAAAATGACAGCCCCACCCATGTTTAAAGCCCAGAGATGGCCCAGATCTTTAACAACCTGAAGGCTCCATGAGATCTGTCATGATAGTGATTTTAGAGACAATATCAGATGCCAGGGTTGGCGGGTAGAGAGCACAGTGATGGACTAAGATAACCAATGATCCTCATAGCAACCTCCAGGAATAGGAATGGACAGGTCCATTTCCTGCTGGAGTCTCATATGCCTCAGACACCTCTGCAGGGCCTGGGGCAGGGGTAGGGGGAAACACCAGGAATCCCCTCCTCCTCTATTGCCACTTTGAAATGTCAGTGTGAATCCTTTTCTCATCAAAAAACGATTTTAAGACTTTGTTTTTAAAATCAAAAGGGGTTTTAGAGCTGGAAGCCTTGCTGTCATAATGAGACATGTTTTATGGAGCCATTAACAGGCACTTGGAAGACAGTGACGACCTATAAATGTATTCATGGATTCAGAGCTGGGCAGGTTTCACCGACCGATTGCAGGTGCCTTGGAGATGACGTCTGCAGGAAGGAGACAGCCGGCACCGCTCACCAGCCATGGGCTGCCCACACCTCCCCACCTGCATGCCCACTTCGTGCTCACCCCGCTGCAGTGGCACTGACCCCGACGTCTCAGTATCTCTCACAAACTCTGAGACACCTTTCAGGAAAACCACAGGTCCTAACCAGGCTATCATTTTCTCTGTCTCATCTACAGGACACCCCCGGGCAGTCCAGCATCCCGACTCCCTCGCTCACTCCCAACTCCCTCTTCCATAATTGGCTTTCTCTGAGGTTGTGGCATTCAGAGTTAGGCTGACCTGGGATCCAGTCCTGCCTACTTAGGTCCTGACCATGCACAGCCAGCCTCTCAGGCCTCAGCTTTCCCGTCTGTGAAAGGTGTTCTCCTTGTCTGTACCCTGCTGGGCCTGGCACGGTGCCTGGCACACATCTGATGCTCCGCAGATGCCAAGCGGGTGCTTGGCTGCCTGCTTCCTGGGAGTGCTACCACGGATGCGCACGAACCCGCCTTGCTTGCCCTTTGAAAGTGCTCAGTGATGTTTAGGTTGGCTTGAAGATGTTGATTATATCATACCAGCCTCCTCCCCGTGTCCTGCGTGGTTCCCCATTGGAAAAGACTTTGCCTGTTTTCAAGAGGGCTAATCTGGGGACATGACATGAGTTTGAGTAATCTCCGGGAGTTGGCCTGGCATGCTGCGATTCATGGGGTCGCAAAGAGTCAGAAATGACTGAGTGACTGAACTGAACTGAACTGAATCTGGGGACTTCCCTGGTGGTCCAGTGGCTACGACTCTGTGCTCGCAATGCAGGGGGCCGCCTAGGTTCGATTCTTAGTCAGGGAACTAGATCCCGCATACTGCAGTGAAGATCAAAGATTCTGAATGCAGAAGACCCGGTGCAGCCAAATATATATATCTATGTACACATTTATGTATATATGTATATATATATACAAATATGTATGTAAAGAGAGGACCAGTCTGCCTCTCTCTCTAGTCCCAGCAGACTTTTGCTTTCCTCGTGCATCTTTCCCTGGCTGCCCCCAGCCTGGATGATGTCCTTCCTCTGGCTGATGTCTTCCTTTTAGTTCCCTCTGAGTTTGGGACTTGTGCTAACTCTGCAGCTCCCAGCCAGGTTCTAAGCCCCTATAAGATGTGGTTTGTTATCTTTCTTTGCTCAGTAGATGCACCCAAAGATAGGTGGGCTGGCCAGTCACCAGATGCAGTCACCAGAAAGGAAAACCAGATAACACATCAGAGCAGAATCACATCCATCCCAGACTGTTGGGTGTGGGACCAGGCCAGGCACTGGCGGTGCACATGGGCCTGCACACACACACACACACACACACACACACACACGCACACCCTTGAGTGTGCCGAGGCATACTGGGGAACGGATAGTCTTTTCTTCCTTGTAAAGCTCCACTGAGCTGAGCCCTGGTTCTGGGGGCCCGGGTCTGAGTGTGGAGATGACCCGCACGAGGTGAGGAAGGTTCTGGTATGATGGACTGGTCGAACGTGACACGGCTGCTGCTCCGCTGCTGAGGGGGTGCCCCAGAAGGAGGCAAGGGATAAAGCCGTGCAGCCCAGCTGGGCGGGGGGAGCACTGCCAAGCCCGGGAGGCGTGGGGATGACGAGATGGGTGCATGGGGGTCCCAACCTGGGGCTCTGTCCTGAGGTAGGTGGGCTGACATCTGACAGTAGGTTTTGATTTCAGGTGAAAATATACACTCACACACATGGAGATCCATTCTTGCCACACACAAACACGCACACACACACACACGCCCTGAGGAAGTAGGTACATAGCACCCTAACACACTCTGCTCACACATTAATACTGGACGAGCTCTTGCTGGTTTCAGGACAGGAGGTAGGAACAGAGAGCAGATGTGCCCACGGAACAGAAGGGGCATGGACACAGTGTGTAGCCTTGTTGAGTGGTGAATGGTGGGTATGCCGACTCAGCAAATATCCACTTATTTACTGAGACCCACAGTATGCCAAACCGTGAGCATACCAGACATGTATATACCTACCTACACGTGCATACTCACACACACACCCTTAATTGTGCCTCTTCAGAGGCAAAGCCCTACACAGAGGCGTGTTTAAATGATGCTCATTTTTATCACAAATGCATCCCCACACGCATGCACGCATCCATCCACAGACACCCAAAAGTGGCCAGTGAACTTCCATTCTTTTCCTCACGAGAACAGCAAACTGGGAAGCTTGTAGTCTAAATCACCAGCTCCAGGTCCAACACTATTTCCCTAGTTGCCTCTCCTGGGTCCAGTGGCCAAGTGTCAGATGAAACGACTTTTTAACGCTCATCTGGGAATCAAGAAGGAAAAGAAGGTGGTACGAACACTCCCTTTGTAACCCCTTTCCAGAGTTTGAGAAAACTGGATGTTATTAAAATTGCTTTAACTCTGAAGGGCGTGAAAGGTGGAGAAGGGAAAAGCCGGCAGCTGCAGGCTGGAGGGCCTGTTGGATGCTGCAGCATGCCACTGGGGAGAGGATCCCTGCACACTGGGGTCTGGCAGGCTGTCCTGGCATGATCTTTCCAGCAACTGGAGCGTGACTCCAACCCAAACCATTTGCTGTTAGTCGCATCCATTCTTCTCCTAGTGCTCCCACAGGCGGCACCTCTTGGGGTCTCAGGTGAGCTCAGGTAAAGGGGAGCTTAGACCCTGTTGCTGGGGAGCTCCTCAGCTGATGGGAGAAACAGAACTCCTGGCTTCAGGTGGCTCTTGGCCTCATTGAGGGAAGATGGACATAAATATGCTAACAAGAGAGGGAAAATAGAGTTGGAAGAGAAAGAAATATTCGTGCAGTATAATTAGCATTTATATGAAATTTTAAAGCATGAAAAACAATTCCATATGTTGTTTTGACAGACATACACATGAAGAATAAAGGGCAGGCAGTCCTTGCTTTGAACAATTCTCTGATATATACATACGTTGCCAGCAATTGAAGGTTCTTACTTTGTCAGGAAAGACAGTGGATTTATTTAGAGAGAAATACTCCACAGACAGTGTGGGCCATCTTGGATGGCCAGAGAGAGTGCCTTGAAATATGGTGTGGTTAGTTTTTACAGGCTGGGTAATTTCACAGGCTAATGAGTGAGATGATTATTCCAATTATTTTAGGTAAGGGGCAGGGATTTCCAGGAATTGGGTCACTCCCACTTTTTGGCTTTTTATGGTTGGTCTCAGAACTGTCACAGCACTGGTGGGTATGTCATTCAGATGCTAATGTATTACAATGAGCATATAATCAGGATCAAGGTCTACTGGAAGTTGAATCTTCTGGATCTTTGTTTCCAATTAGTTTATGTCATATCCTCAGGCTATGTCATTCTTTTAAAGGTTGTGCCCTGCCCCCTGCCCTCCTATTTCACATATATATCCAATTCCCATACATTAATATATTCCATATGTATATACATTCTTACAGGTATGTTATACATGGGAATACACATGGATTTACATTATCATGGTTTAGTTAAACCTGGCCCCCAACAACACAGTTTACATTTAAGTTATCATGGTATGTTGGCAATGAGTAATCGCACAAGGCACAAACTCTGAAGCTAGTTCTTCATACCATGTATCACACTCAATAAAAACAAAATAAAACTGTGCTTCATGGTCAGCAACTAGTCATGTCACCTCTTGCACCTCTGCAGTGATTGGTCACCGCGCATCTGTTTGTCAGCTCATGCACAGACAGCAACGCGTGCAGATGTGCTGTTTCTGTGTCTCCTGGTGGTAGCGCTTTGCAAAAATGGATCATTTAAAGAGGAAAACGGCCAACGGAGATGAAAGCATAGCAAAGACACAAAAAGTTGACAGCATTGGGACTGGAATAAAAAATCAAATGTCGGTGGAGCTACAGAAGAAATAGCTGACCGTGGGTGTGTGGACTCAGCTGCCACTCAGGAGGCCACAGAAGTGCGGCCAGAGGAACTTAGTGAAGGACAGTTCATGGACGTTAATGAGGTTGTGATAAAAAGGGTGAAGATATCTCAGAGGAAGTGACGTGGGCAAAAACTTCACATTAAAGGAACTCTTGGAGATATTTATGACATTGGAAGTGCAAAGGATAAAATTCAAACTTAGGAAGGATGGAAAAGATATTTGCTCTTTATTGTAAAATGGAAAAAAAAAAAAAGCCAGAGTTGAAAGATGTTTGCCCTGTATCTATATGATGAGAAGAAAGCAAGCACTATTCAAACTCCTCTTCAGAATATTTTTTAACAAAGAAACAAAACATTTAATTAATGTTTCTAAGGTTTTAAATTAAATGCATTACATAAAATTAATATTTTGAAGATTGTTTTTACTATTTTTAAAGAACTTTCCTGTGTGTTTCCCTATACATTTCCTATAACCTACAGTGAGAATTTTTAAATTTTTTATCCCCAATTTTTTAACCTTTAATTGGAGATAATTGCTTTATAATGCATTAGATTCTGCTGTACAACAACATGAATCAGCTATAATTATACTTACAGCCCCTCCCTCTTGAGCCCATCCCTCCCCTCTAGATCATCACAGAGCACCTTGCTGAGCTCCCTGTGTTATACTGCAGCTCCCCACTAGCTATCTATCTTAACAAAAAAAGTTTTAAATTCACAATGAAGTCACAAATTTCCCCATTGGTTTTTAAGATGACTTTGCATAGTTTGAGCTTGTGTGGTCCTTTTTATGGCCCTGAACTACTGTGCAGTGAGACCCACCTAAGTAAAGAATAATGTATCAGGGATACAGAAGTGTGTGGGGATGATAACAATCTGATTCAGTGCTTCTGGTTAGGTCTGGAGGATGGAGAGAGGGGAATGTGACTAGGGAGGTGAATACAGGAGACTTGGGCTGTATTTATATATTTTATTTCGGTATCACAGTTTCAATAGTATTCATTACACCTTCTCAAATATTTTAATTCATTAATTTCTTAATAGAAACTAAATAAGGTTGTAAAAATAAGCATATCCAATCATCCCATTTCTTTACTATAAATGATGAAGGCTGATTAGTGGAAGAAAAATTATAAGAGCAGGGCTGGTGATTTAGAGGAGACTTTCTGAAAGAGGAGTGCTTGTCCAGTGGCTCAGAAGTAAAGAATCCACCTGCAATGCAGGAGACTTGCTGGCTGATGCAGGAGAAATAAGAGACTCGGGTTAGATCACTGGGTCAGGAAAATCCCCTGGAGAAGGAAACGGCAACCCACTCCAGTGTTCTTGCTTGGAGAATCCCATGGACAGAGGAGCCTGGCAGGCTACAGTTCATGGCGTTGCAGAGTCAGACGGGACAGAGTGATTGAGCATGCATAGGTTCTGAAAGGTGACGACTCAGGAGACAGAAAAGACAGGAGGCAGTCTGAAAAGGCGCAGAGCACAGAACTCCACGGGGAAGTGGGCCCTGGGGTCACAAATACCCTAGAAAAGACTCTGGGCTCCCCAGGATGGAGGCTGGGAGTGAATGTGGAGGGCCTGAAGGAGGCCCAAGCTCTGGTCTTCCTCCCACTGTGGACGAGCTCACCACTCCGGACAAGTCCTTAATCTCCCTGGGCCTCAGATATCTCATCTGTAGAAGGGGGATGCTTGGACCTTCTCAGAAGAAACTCTTCCTTGATGCTCCCTCTGGGATTAATTATATTTCTTTCTTGCACATTAGGGTTAAGGCCAAGTGTTTCAAGTTCCCCCAACCATGGGTTGTGTGACCTATTTCCAGGCAAAGGAAGACCATTCCCACTGACCCTCTAGGCAATCTGGAAGCTCTCTTGATAGTGCACTAAGGCATGTGCCAACCTTATCAGAGTCATCGTCA